CACACACACACAACACACAACAGACACAACAGACACAAAACACACACAACACACACACGCAACACCAACACACACACAACACACACACACACAACACACACACACACAGCACACACAACACACACACACACAGAACTCTCACACACAACAAACACAATACACACATTACACACGTTACGCACGCAAACCACACCCACTCACTCCACACACACGCACACACCCCATATACACACACACACGGGAGTTTCTCACAATGGTGGACCCCGCTTTGGTCGGTATTTGCAGAAGAAATCAAAAGGAAGACCATTATTTCGCAGGGCCTCCCTATTTTGACAAGCACATAGCTGTAGATGGGAGCCAGGAACCCTGGTATTCCGACCATGCTGCGTACCTCAATATAATATATATATATATATATATACAAATATGGTGTACACTTCTGCTGCTTTCCGGGTTGGATAGCAGACGGCCTAAGCAGGACGCAACCTTCGAGAACAACCGGAGGCGTTCATAACACGCGTGGATTGTTTGGATATATATATATATATATATAGATAATATAATGTCATACTTGAATTCGAGGTCCACTCAACATTTGTTTTGTTCTTGGTTTTGGTTGAAAGCAGACCTTTGCAAATTTGCTTTTGGAGGCGGTGTCTATCCCTAGCTGTGAGCTTGCAGCGGGCTGTCGCCGGGTGCGCGCGAGGAAGCGGCGTAGTTTGGTTTGCTTCTCCCGAGATGAGGAGATCATTTTCATGTACAAAAGTCAGGCTTCTTGTTGGGACCCGTTGCGGTTTCCCATACGTCAAAGGCTTGCTTGAGCAAGGGGCAGCTTGCAGACAAACGCTGTAGGCATGTCTCATTGAAAAGACCAAGCAATACTGGGTGCGATCAACAACAGCTATAGTTATGTTCATTTTGCAAAAGATATTGTGGGAGGGAAGTTGCCAGACCCTCTGTTTATCCCTGTTTAAGACCTATTGTTTTCCCCTGGTGTACAGCTGACGGATTGTTCTCAAGGCGCCGCCCACTCAGTTGAACATTTTGGGATGTGAACCCCTGTCTTTCTTTTTTTGAACCCCTCCTAAACCATCAACCGACTAATCCAAGCCACCAGTTAGTGGGAAAGGTACCATCTTTAGTTGCTTAAACTGTAAACTGGAAGAGGAAAGGACCTGGAGGATGTTGGAAGATTACCATCCGTATTTGGCTTGTGGCCTTGCTTTGATTTTCCCTCTGGGTTGAACCGGGAATGCTCTTCCCGGAATACTCTTCCCACACATGGAAGGGAAAGAACTGCGAGTGGAGAGCAAGCAGTGCAGTGGTTTCTTGTATGCCCATCTCCATGAGAGAGGGCCGACCCAGACAAAGACCATAGTCTTTGGAGCAACCTGCACCCCGACCTCTTGGAACAAGTGGCATTCCCATTCAGTCTATAAAAGCTGAGCAGTGATCGACCTGTTGCGCTTGGTTTCGGGTTCTTGCAATACACATTGCCTTGTGGGAATCCACGCGTGCCATGTGATATTAGTTTGGAGGCTTGTGGTAAACACTCCCTAGTCATGGTTGTTGTTGGGAAACAGTTTACTTTTTTGCTTATTGTGGTTTAGTGGGAAATCCCCACTTAACTGCTAAATAGTATTTTTTGCTCCCCTTCCAAATCAACCAAAGTAGTATTTTGCGGGGTCAGATGGAGTCATTCGTGCCCCAGCCAATGCCACGTGTCACTGTGGTAAACAGCCCTAGTACTCGTAGTACTCGGCCCTTAATTTGGAAACCGCATTCTGGTTCCACCAAGCGGAAAGGGTCGGTGGTAAGCCGCAAGCTGCCCCATGTATCACATCCTCATGTGCTTGTCACATCTTGGGCGACCTGCAATGAGCAGAAACCGCCAGATGAGGTCATGGTCAAAACACCCTGCTGGGAGGTACCACTGGGTTCCTTTGAACATGTTCAGGGGTTTAAACACTTCTTTTGATGAGGCGTTTTGACCATGGCACACATGCACTTGGGCTTACCTTCTAAGAAGGGACACGGCCAAGGTGCAAGTCACAAGCAGCTTAACTGCTGCTCAGCACTAAGGGGTTGCTCTCGGCTCATCCAAGCAGGTGCGGGGTACCTGAGTGTGTTTCGAGTTCTTTGGCACCTGGCGGTCTAGTTGTGCCCTCTAGGTCCCCCGGTAGTGCCCTTTTACTGTTTCTTGTTTTGGGGGAGGGTTCCCCTACTAAAATTAACGTCCAGAAAAAGGGTACCCTTATTCTAACCTCTCTACTGGAGGACCTAGCTTTAGTTCATTCCCACGAAATGTTTCGTTGCAACTGGCGTCCCAGTCTTCAATTTGATGCCTTCATTGTTTTGGCTGTCGGGGGTCTACCAAAAATTGAGGGCAGAGGCAATTATCAAACTTCTGCCTTCCCCAAACCAATCGGCTGCGACAGAGAGGCCCCGCTGAAATCATCAGTTCCCAGATGTTTATCTGGGCCATAACTTACACAGGATTGTCTTCCCCCTTCAAGCAAAATGAAACATGTTATGAAACCCCCACAAAAGGGAACTTGAAAGAAACACGGGAGAACAAACCCTTTGAAGCTCCCCCACTAACCCGTAAGGGGGTTAGGTTTGCCCCCAAAATAGAGGCTGTCCCCCCCCCCCCAAACAACAAAGGAGACAACCACAACGGTATGCGTCAACACTCGGGGGGAACTTGCGGATTTCGTTTTATTTTTCCTTTGAAGCACTTTGAAGGGGGCAGCCTCCAAAACCACCCCGTTGCTTTCCTTCCTTCTTCCGGGCTTGAGCAACCCCAAAGCCCAATTCAGCTCCGTTTGAGCTTGGCATCCCGCGCTGGAAAGGAAAGCGCCTTGGTTGCAGGGATGTGCTTTGGGCCGGGGTCTTTGTCTGAGTCGACCTTTTTCTGGGCTTTTGCCTCGATGCCAACCAACCCCTTGAGACCCCCCCTTGGGATTATGATGGGGAATGGTGAAATGATGAAACATGTGTTTCCTGAAATCATGAAAACGGGAAACCTGAAAACCATCATCAATGGCCCCCAAAGGGTTGGAATTTGACGATTCCCTTTTGGTAATGATTAGGATGGTTCAGTTCGGAGTCATCTAAATCAGCAAAGCCCCTTCTGAGCTGAAGCCTTGCAGTAAAGGCGGCCACCTGCGGGCTGATTCGTTTGCTCAACTCACGATACGTTGGGTTCCTTAAGCTTTTATTGCTTTTTGGTTGGTGTTTTGTGTTGTTTTCTTTCTCCAGTGCATAAGCTGGACGCTTTTCGCAGGGATCAGAAAATGGACGGTCCGACTCTCAACTGATTTGTCTTCTCCACGTAGATGGCCCAGGAATCTTTTGCAGAGGTGTCTTTTCGCGGGCTGCGGCATTCTGAGCCGCCCACGTATTGGTGGTTTGGATTGGATTTGGATTTGAACCCCTGGCTTCTGCAGAGCATGGAAAACCACTCCTTTGGTGCATGTTGCTTGGATGTTCGGACTTTAACTTTTTGCCAACTAGTGGGTTTTCCATTAAGCCACTAAAAGTTGAACTTTTAGCAGGGGAGCAGAAAGCAACCGAGACTCCTTAACCAAACCGCCGGGCTCCAAACCACCAACTGGATGGAAGCTGAGTTTCGTGCTAACCAAGGGAACTCTGCAACTGAAAGGAACTTGTCTAATCGGGATGTGAGGGGTTCTGAAAAGTGTGGCATGAGAAGAAAATGGCGGTGCACTTGCTTGTGCCTAAGCAACATAAAGCATAAAACGGGAGTTCAAATCTGCAAGTGAACTTGTTTTGGAGCCTGAGAGAAGAGCCAAGTGTGCTTGGGAATCTGATGCAGTATGTACACATGGGTTATATGAGGTGTGTCAACGTTTGCCGTCATCCACTGGGAGGGGTACTCACCAAAATCCAATGTCTTTTGGGCGGAACAGATGTGTGTAGGAGTAATCATAGAAGAAGTGGTACCTCTCAGAGCGATACACGAACTCCCCCAAGTGTTTTGCTGCGTTGGGCAGGACTTGTTTGAACAATGAGACCTATGGCCATGTTTCCAGGCACGCAGAAGGCAGAAGGATTTCACAACTTGTTTCCGACCATGCCTACATGAATCGAAGGTTTCCTGCTTCCGGCTCCCTTATTTCAAGTTGGTGGTTTACAATGATGTGCTCAGCTACCAAGATTCACCTGAGCAACGGTCAATGTAAATCGAAGGAAGGTCCCAGCGGGCAATCAGACACTGCTCGATGGTTACTGAGAATGAGTCTTTACGGAACAATCATTTACCCTCCCTTCCACTAACATAGCACCTCACAGGGTTTTCCTTTAAGCAAGCAGTGTTGAGTGAACATGTGTTTTGCATTCTGCCAGGCATGTGTGCGGTGAAAAGAAGGTGCTGGTGATCTTCCAGGTACCTTCCCGCAGGTGCTACGTTAGACTTAAAGAGAGGCCCTTTGTACCTTCCAGATGTTCCAAGGCACATTTGCGCGACCCCTGTTTTGCGTCTCCCTTTTACCTTGTGATTCAACTGCCTAAACGGTGTTCCAAAAGCAGGGCTCATCGCGTTGCCATGGGACCCACCGATCGTGACCCGGTCCTTTACGGAAAATGGTCTTCCAGGACACCCCGAGGTGAGGTTCCGTGTTGGGCGGGGAAAATTGGCGACGCCGGCCGCACCGCAGGGCAACCCCTACCGCGAGTCCGACCCGTTAACGACGGTCTTCGGCCGGGCACCGGCCGTTGAAGAGCGAAAGCTCTGCTTTCAGATTGGGGGGAAGTGGGACGGGGTATACATGTTCTTTGTTATATATATATATACGTATTACGCATAATATCCCCTGGAGGAAATGGGGTTTGTACTCTGTAGACCCATTTGGGGGAACCCCCCTTTTGAGTTCGTTTGGAAGAGAAACCAACAGGAACCCAACATTTGTTGGTCCCTGAATCGAGAAGCCTTTGATAGTTCCTTTGGTTTATCTTCAAAATGTCTCCAAAATGGATATCCTCAAACAACGAAACACCAATGCTCAGGTTACAGGTAGTTGGTGGTTTGGATTCGTAGGAGCTGGGATTTGAACCTCTGGCTTTGTAGAGGGTTTGCATGAAAGATCCCCAACCGACAAACTGAAATACATGGAATGTTTAGCAGGTGCATTGAAGACGAGATGAGAGCAATGGCATTTCGGCCAGCGAGCAAAGAAAGCAGACGACATTGTCCAAGCACCAACCAGATCTGTGAATCGATGCTGCCACTTTGGGTCGTAGATGGCCCTGTCCGTGCAGGGCTTTGGACTTGGGACGGTGGTCGCAAGCTCAACCTGTCTTTTTGCTTGGTGAAGCACAGTTCGTGTGATTCTTGTCCCAATCAAAGTTCGAAACTCTCACCACCTTCTTCTTCCGCTGAGCGTTAGCTTGCTTCCGCGGGTTGTACCTTGAGCATTGCCTTTTTTCTTACCGTGTTCCAGTGGAACCAGTCCGTGAAAAACATTGCAATCGGCTTTCGTACCGGAGTTCAGTACGCTTTTCGGTCCCCGACCGGTCGACCGCGTGTCACTGAGTCGTTGAAGACTCACCATCCTTTAAGTCAGAGCCTCTGCCGATTGAAAGTATATACTTCTCTAAGGAGTCTTCCAAGCAGGGTTTCTTTTTTTCACCACCCCAAGGTAGACTTAAACCAAGGGGTTTTCGGGAAATCAAGAAACGGAACCCTGCTTCCAAGAGGGTTTCAGGAGAAAACCTTCAGCTTCCCATCAGACAAAAGCTTCTCCCTCTCTATGTCAAGACACCATTCCCATGCCACCTTTGAACCACTCATCGTGTGCATGTGCCGGCTCGACCAAATGTCCACAGATCAAAGCCAGCTCGGCTACCACTGCAATCCAAGGCACAAAGTACAGGTGCCCAAACATCAGTTTAGGGATCCCCAAAATACTCCGCCTTATGGACATGTATTGAGGTCAATTTGGACCAAAATCCTGTAAAACAAGGGCAACCCATAGAAACGAAGCCAAGAAGGTGAAGACTCCTCTAAAACCGAAGGCGACCATTACTTGACTGCTATTGGGTTGGATCTTTAGACTTTAACTTTTTGGGAAGTAGAGGTGTTTTCCACTAAACCCCCAAAAAGTTAAACTTTTTGCAGGGGGGTCAACAGCAACCAAGATTAAGCAGATATTCCGTTGTTGCGCCTTTTAAATGTGGAGATAGCTCACATGGGGGCATCAAGGCGGTGCGGGTGATTAAGCGCCAATCCCCCCGCCCCCGCCCCCCGCCCCCCCGCCCCTTGGAAGACCACCTCACTCAGCACATGTGCATGAAGGCCACTTAGGGACTTCACTGGGGACGTAGCATCGGAGGATGCGTGGATGCAATGGCTCTGAGCAAAGTCGCTCGGGTCATTATTCTGCTCTCCTTGTGGGCTTTCATTGCTTGTGGCGCATACCTGGGGCTGGACGATTATTCTCCCTGGACTTCCATACTCTTACCATCCATAAGCAGCTTGAGCCACTTCAGCACTTCAGCTCCTTCAATGACGAGCCTTCCTCCACTGGCCAGTGGAGCAAGCGAAGCGGGAGGCGGAACCATTGACGAAAGCACCTCAACTTCGTTTGATGCGACAACCTGGAGCACAAGCAGTTTAAGCACGCACTGTGAGCGGGAAGCTTGGGGGACGCTTTTCTCCACAGGCCCCGGGGCGGACTGGGATGTCGCCCGGATGTACTTTTGGGCCACCCTGGTGCTGAGGGACAGCATCCAGAGGTTCGAAGGCTGTCGGCCCCATCGGCCCTTCTTCGTGCTGCACAATCAAAGCTTCAGCGAGCCAGACAGCTGGGCCATCTCTGAGCTCCACAAGCGCGGCTTCGTGACAGTTCCGCTCTCCATGGAAATGCCATATCCCAATCCCTCGAGACCCGAACTCAACGTTGGCTGGTTGAAGCTGGCGATATTTAACTTTACCACATGGGATCGAGTTGTAATCCTGGACGCTGACATGCTGGTACTGGGAAGCATGGAACAGGCATTCTTTCCACCGAAGCGGAGCAGGCTCTCTTTGATTACCAGCTCTGTGGGCATTCCCAAGCCATCACGGTCCGTAAACATCGGGGTGATGTCGATTCAGCCGTCCAGCAGAGTGTTTGAGCCTTGGATTGCACCTCCATCTAGCTTTGTTTCTTCTTGCTGTTTTTTTTTTTTTTTTGTGGCGTCGGCGTCATGGTGGTTGTTTTTATTTTGTCGTGATGTTCCTCTTGTCGTGTTGCTGTTGCGTCCAGACCGTAGGATTGTCAGGTGAGTTGTGGTTGGTTCGGTCGATACCAGGTATGGTTGTCTTGCCAAATAGGTGGTCCAGGCTAAAGAGGGTCCGGGCTCCAGGAGGGCATCATGGATTCAGTTCCTGATGACTTCCAACATAATTTGTTGATGTTGGAAGTGGGAAAATAACATCTGGTTTACATCTTCTAAAGTTGAGTCACCATGGGAAATATCCTGAATGCTAATGACAGGGGGTGAACAAGAAGGAGAGAAATCCTTAAATACAAAACGGGAGCTGCATCATGTTTGCGGAAGCAACTCAGGGGGCGGGCGTCGGCTCGCGTAGGCATTTCGCGCACATGTGTGTTTTTCCCTTGCGTAGGTGCCCCACGAGAACTGTGCTTGTTTTGACCTTTCATTTTCGCAGGCCACACGACAGCATGCATCGCTGCTTGTTAGCCAGAAAGCCGCTTGGATGGTGCAAAACAGAGCTGCCTCCGTCCGCATAGGCTCCGCGTAGGCTCCGCGTAGGCTCCGCGTAGGCTCCGCGTAGGCTCCGCGTAGGCTCCGCGTAGGCTCCGCGTAGGCTCCGCGTAGGCTCCGCGTAGGCTCCGCGTAGGCTCCGCGTAGGCTCCGCGTAGGCTCGACGAGTACCACACTTGTACTGGCAAGTTGCAATTTTGGAGAAGGAGCTGCCAAAGTGCATGTCGCATATGACAGTTAGACAACTCACAAAGAGCAGGCAAGAAATGAATGACTTGGCAGAGTTACAAAGTTCGAGGTAGCAAAGCAGCGGGCGAGCGGCTTGCGTAGGCATCGCAGGCAAACAAAACGGCACATACGCGCGCGCGCTCCGGCGCCCCTTGCAGTCACGGAAGGCTTTGCGTAGGCAGCGAACAAAATTTAGGCCCCGAGCACCCCAAAACAGCATGGTTGTTGTGGGGAAACATTTTGCATTTTTGCTTATTGTGGTTTAGTGGTTGAACTCCAAATCCACTTAGATCGGCTCAAAAGTTTAAATTGTTTGCTCCCCTTGCAACGTCAACCAAGAAAGGAGAAGATGATGCTCGAGCTGCATTCCTTTGACAACCGTACCGATAAGCCCGACGAACAGGCGTCGGCAAGGGGCAGGGGTCACACGGGAGGGCACTGGACAATCCCGTACCTGATCGTCTGCTCACAGTACGTGATACATGTATATACGGAGAAATAGATTTATAGATGTATTTTTCTTTATGTGTAACATCTGATTGTAAAAACAATAATCACAAACTATAAACTAAAGTGTTCTTTGTTTCTTCTTTTGTTTGCTCTCTGTGTTTCTTTCCTTCGTTATGTTCACTGTTTCAGTGTTTCTGTGTTTCATTAGTTCTTTCTTCCCTTCTTTCTTTCTGTTTAATCAATATCCCTATCCACTGTTGCAATTGCTTCACATTACCAAATATTAGCAGGACCTCCCGGCCATTCAGTTGCAACCGCGCTGACTCGAAGCTGTACATTTTGTGTACTTGTTGTTCTCCTTAGCTATCATTTTCAACGAACTCTAGAGGCCTGTCATGGAAAATCGGACCAACCTTTGGTTTAGATGAAGCATTGGTTCAGCACCCACATGAAGACGAGACTCGAATGAGATAGGTTTGACTTGCTTCAATAGGACAAGATCGCAAAAGGGAATACGCAGGAATATATTTGTCGTTTTTCCCGCGGTGATGACTGATTCGCAGCTGTTTGAGGCGAACTGCGCTGTTTTTGGCCTCTCAATTTGCCAGACCTGTCGTCATACTTGTGACAGCTTTCCGTGCTTACAAGCTGTCCAAGCTTGGTATAAATTGTACATAGCTCTGGCTTTGTGGCATTTCTCCTGATCCAATACTGTTGTTCTCCAAGAAGCTTTTGCCAGGATCAAGGCTGGATCGAGATGTTCTTCAAGAAGTGGGGTTCATTCGGAGGAGTCTACGACGATGCCTAGGTTTGTTGCTGTCGGGTTTGCCAACGGTTTGTTGGATTTAACCGCTCTTTTGTCTGTTCAACAGTATGTACCCATCCTCTTCAAGCATCTCAGAAGTCCGATCGTTTGGGAGTAAGTCTTCTTTGGTGCATGGTCGATGTGCCTTTGCCAAGCTGCGTGACTCTAAGGATGTCGATTCCTGCGTGGAATCGCCTCAGTTCAAGACCTACCTCTCTGCTACAGAGGCGCCACCCATTCTTTTGTGACTTATGACCATGCGTGTATATTATGTACAAGGCTTTTGGGCGGGTTGTGGGACAGTAATTAAGATACACACGTGAAGCAGAAGAAGCAGATTTAAAGCAAACTGCGTGAATCCATGAAATCAACTACTGTAGTCAACTGGAGTCAGATCAAACTAATGTTCACCCCTGATCAATAGATCCCCATCGAATCGGTGGTGCTACTTTGGTATCCATGGCATCCCGTTTAGTAACAAATTTATTAATCAGGGGGTCGACATGGGCCGACTATTGTCATGTTTTGCATTTTTTTCGGTCTCGACAGCACCCAAAAAGCTGATCGGAGGATGGCTTTCCTTGGTGCTTCCATCGGCTAGAGTACGACGCGCACGTGGAGTTCATAGCAAACCTGGGAAGTACGCCGCCCAAATTATTGCATTGGCCTGGCATCCTGAAACCATGGTGCATGAAGAAGAAAGAGCGGAGCGTCTTTGACGAGATGTGGTGGGCAGCTGCCAAAACCAGCTGGGACACGGAGCATAACGGATCCCGGGCCATGCCTAAGAGGTTCAAGTGCAAAGGTTTCCATATCTTCTCGAAGAAGAAGTGGCAAAGTATCCTCAGGAGGCGAAATGAGTCGAGCCAAACCTGGGCCAGACTCAGCCAGAGCTAGCCCTTGGCCTGATCACAAGTGCGGCCGGGTGGATCAAGTGGTGCGGCCGAGTCGATCATGTGGTGCGGCCGAGTCGATCATGTGGTTTGATGACCCAGGGCTACCAGCGAGGTGCCAAACGTTAGCCAAAGCTGCCTTTTGAGCTTTCGTTTGGCCGCAGGATGGCAGTGGCCGGCGCTTGATTTGTGCCTTTTGCCATTCACAGGTTGTAAGGCGACTTACCTGGATGCTCGAATCTCATAAATCAGCTCTTTGACGCGAGGAAGATGCGACGCGACTTGTTCGCGACTGGACGATCCAACGACGGCACGCCCTGTTTGAATCAGCCTTGACATGCCATGAGAATCAAAACAGGTCAGTGCCGCTGTGGAGGTGCACGCCTGCGATTCAGCTTTTTATTTGAAGGACGCTGGCATGCAAGACCTTGCGCTTGACTGTGAAGATGTGTCATGTTGACATCACGTTGACCCGGGTTAAGATGAATCGGATTTGTATCCTTGACCCAGGTTTGATAAATAAGCCTTTGGTTGATGAACGAGTTGGGTGCAGCCTTTTGTGGGAGGGATCCTTCATGGGACAGTGGAAAGCTGTCAGACGGTCAGACGCCGCGATTTGGACTCAGACTCCTGGGCCCAACGGCAGATCCAGTTGGACGCTTGAAAGCTACTCGTTTATGTTGCGTGGTTTTTGAGGGTGACCATTTCAGCTTGGTTTGAAGTGAAGCCAGAAGGAAAGCCGCTAGTGTGGGGGGTCCCCTCTGGCTATGTTACTTACTGCAGTTTTTAAGGTCCCGTGCAACCTCGCACGCCCACATTCGAATACACTGCGCTATTCCCTTGGCTCGAAGCCGGGGGGAAGCATCGCCACACGAGACCATGGAAGCTCCACGCATTTCTGAGCCACGAGCCACCAGCGAAACAACACAAAAAGCCAGCATTCAGCACGTGAGCATTCCGTCCGAGCAATCGGGAGGACCGGTCTTGTGGCAAGTTGCAGAGTCAGTTGGGGATCGGAGACCTGGGCCTTGCTCATTGCTGGTCTTTGCTGTGACCGCATTGCCCCAGAGACCTTTGCCACATTAATTTAATTAAAAAACCTAGAAAAGGGTGAGCGATCTGATCTTTTGCTCAGGGTGGCTTGGAGCAACCCAGCATTGTTGATGTGTGTTTCTCGCAGGGAACCCTTTGATGACCTTCGGTGCGTCTTTCAGACCTGCTTCGATAGGCAAACCTGTGTGTATCGCGCAGTCGATGGATGTGATGAATTCCGTAGTGATTCCATTCCCCTGCATCAGGAGGACCCCGGACGAAAAAAAGCCTGTTTATGAATAGGGAGGTGCCCCTCGCTTAGTGGGGATTCCTCAATTTTGGAGGGGTGCGCCGCACCCCGATTAGTAGGATGGGTTTTCATTAATCTGGGAAACTAAGAGTGAAATTGCGACGGATACCGGCATGTAGTGGCAGATGCATTTGGATGGGGATGGCATGCACAAGTCAACTTCACGACGCAGCCCGTTTTTTTTTGAGTTGGATGGCACAAGAGAACTGGCTGTGGCTCAAAAACATGTACCAACATGGCTCCTGGGTAAATGGAACCAACAACTAAAACCTGCGTAACCCTGGCTTTTTTTTGAGCCACGCCCGACTCAGGTTGGACATGACGTGCGATTTTCAAAACTGTTCCGAAAACCACAAGGGGATGGGAAACGGAGTGGATGATCAGGGCCTTCCCCAGGAAAATAGTCTTCCAAAACCCTGCGAACGTCAGCTTCGATGAGAGGGAGGGTAGCTGCTTGTTTGTCGTCCCATGTTTAACACCCGGCTAAAACGCGAGATGAGCCACATTCAAAACCCGGGTAGATGAAGTTTAGTAAAGGACAATCCCAACCATAAATAGCTGCGGATATCCGCCTTCTTAATTCTTTACATGGTGCTGGGGATCGACCATTTTAATGCCGGGTTTTGATTATGACTCAGATGTGGTTAGACTGGAAGTTGGTTGACCCCTCCTTTGCCATCCGGGGTAACCCAGTGCCCCTTGGGAGTACGTGAAATATCTTTGGGCATGCCCCGTTTGTCTTCCATTTAGATGGGTTCCACTGGTTTAGATGGGCTTTCTTCCATGCATTCACCGGGGAAGCCCATCTTTTTTCCAAAAGGTCACCTATATGTTAGAGAGTTGCTTCTGCATACTTAAGCATGAATTGGGGAAGCACATCGGTCGTGATTTGATCTTCCATGACCACAAGACTCATGAAGGGCGCAAGTCAGAGGTATCCATCAACTCGTTGCCTCTTGGAGCACCCCACTTGAGACAAGCGCTTTGGGGCGGTTCCATTGAACCGGCGAATCGTCTGGTTCTTTAACTCTTGAGTTGTTTTTTTAGTTGGTTTGGCCGGGGGTTCCATTTCGCCCACAAGTTCGTCGCTTTGATAACACGGACAGCCCCGTGGCCAATCAATTCCCATGACAAAGCTTTTGAAGTGGCCAAGTGAGCGCCAGAGGCACTTTGGGTTTTCCCGGTTCCTGCTAAATACTAAGCAACCTATAGGCTTCCATTTGTTTGAGAATATTTTCCCCTCTTGGTTTTAAAAGGAATCGATCACTGCTGGAAATATGTTTGATTGTCCAGGCTTAAGCAAATGGAAGCAGGGGTTCGGGCTCTGCAGATGTCTCCACCGGATTTTGCAGGTTGAGTGTCCCATGGCTTTGATGGTTTCTATTCAGCCCGCCGTAGCCGGAGGGAACTCGGCGGGCGGGCTTCCGCCATGTTGTGGAAGCACAAATTTTCCGAGGGCAAATACCCGCTGGTTGTAGAACATGCTTTCATAAAGCCTCCTTGTCTAGTCAAGGTTAATCCCTGGAATTAACATCCTACCCCAATACCCTGAAGACAAAAACAAGAAGGCAACGAAAGAAAGAAAAACAAAAACGGTAGTGGGTGTAGGGGTACTCCAACGGACACTCGCCGAGCCTGATTGGGGAGATCCAGCCTCAGGACTCGCATGCCAAGTGATTCACCATGGCCCAGGGGCCTCAGTGGACTTGGTGGGCCAGGGCTTCCAAGGCTCGTGACCGGGCCGAGCGATGTGCTCACCGCGGTGTCAGTTCTGTTTGCTTCTCTTGTTGGTGCTTGAAACTTAAAAGAGGTTGATTGTTTTCATTGGTTTTGAAGGGAATATGTTGGTGGTTGATTTTCTCTTGGTGCTTTTAAGGGGAATCTATCAAAATGAGTTGTTTGTTAACTGTCTCTTGCTGATTTGAAAAGGAATCGATTTCACTACTGGACATCTTACCTTTTTTTTCCGGTGGGCGAAAAAGCAAATGGAAGGGGGTGTTTGTCCCAACACAGTACTGTTTGCAGCTGCGACTTGAAGCAAGCAGTGTGCCGTGCCTGGTCTTTGGATCCCACTCGCCCCAAAAAGATCTTTTGGAGGCTAGAGTTGTCTTGTGGGCACCTCCGCCCGGTTTCAGATCCGAGGCCAGTGGCTATGCGAAGGCCAAGTCTTCAGGCCGAGTCGGCAAATTTGCGCAGCGGGTTTTTTGGAGGGGCAACAGAAGGAAGCCCCAAAAAAAACAACACTGAAAGAAAACCCCACCATTTTTAGGGGCACCTTTCATGGGTGTGGCCCATTTGTGACATATGGGTGTGGCTTTCTTGGTGAGGGCATTGTGTTTGTGGTTTTAAGGGGACAGTGAAAGGAACACCACATTCTATATATATATATATATACTTCTTCGGGGGGGGGGAAAGACACACGCATAGGGATGTGTCGATGCTTCCGGGGATGGGCTTTTCACGGGAGCAAAGGCAACAATGGTGGTGAGCGCCCAACGAGAACCCATTTTCCCTAGCATCTAAATCCCTTGTTCACTTGGTTGGTGTCCGTTCCTCTTTCTCTACAGGTGGGTTGCAACTGGCTTGAAAGTTCTCGCCAGGGGAGGGCGAGGACTTTGAGGACATCGTGGATGGCGAGCTCGGGGACCTGTTTTCACGGGGCCTGGCGAAGTAGGCAAATGTTGCTCTCCTCTTACTTCAGGTTTTGGATTTGCTCTCCAAGTCTTACTGCAGATGTAAGGGAGAATATTCCACGAAACCCACAGAACTCTTTTCCCGCCTTCGAAACTCAAGGAACCCTCTGTAATCTTAAGAGTTGATACAACCTGTGACCTACCGAATGGGCTGCATGGCAAATCTGCTGTGTGCAGTTGCTTAGTGATAGACGGGAAGAACCTACCCAGCGGATCCAAAGCCATCCAGCGGGTTTCCAATTGAGGCCAAGAAAAGGTGGCCCCTTTTTCTTCCATCTGAACTATAGGATTTTGTCTTTGCATATGGTGTCTTTTGACCACCCAATAGATTTTCTGGCAACTTTTCTGGCAAACGCCCGAAAGCACTGGGCAAGAGTGCTTCTAGAAGAAGCCCAAAGGTGAACTGGGCCCCACCCAGGGAATTGCCTACAGGCCAGCCGACCGCTGACACTTAGACTGAGACTGACTTGTCTTTTTTAGTTGTTGTGGGCCTCCGAAAGTGAATTTATGAATGGCTGTTAAGACCGAAAGCCAGCCATTTGTACCTTTTTAGGGACCCTCACTTTGAAGGAAACACCCCCATGGTTGGGAACAAGAAAGTGTGAGTGTGTGTGTCTTTAGGAATCGGACCCCCAAAATGGTGGGTTGTCCTTTTGGTTTCTTTTTGAACCCACCAAGAAAGGGGTACACTAACAAAAGACAAGCTCATATGGGAGGCTGCAGATAGCTTTGAATGCCATGTGATGGCATCAACATTTCACTCCATACTGTGGGTGGACAGAATCCTACACCACTTTGAAACCACAGGAAACCATGGTTTGTTGGGATTTGCAGGGACATCACCATTGCAGGCTTTGTGAGGGTGGTGCGAAATGGATTTCGTCCCTCCACCGTATTGCAAGTCGAACAAAGAAAAGGCAGTCCACTTATATTAGGCAAGGCGTGTCGCCTCGGGGCTTTGCATGATGGCTTCCCCTGGTTACCTCGAGTGGCGGCCCAGCTCGCCATGGCATACAGTGGGAATGGGGCCGTTTCATTCATTATCTAGCTCCCCCAGTAGTGCCCTTTCTCACCCCTTTTTTGGTTGGGAGGGTTCCCCTACTAAAATAGACTACAGAAAAAAAGGTACCCCTATTCTAATCTCTCTACTGGAGGACCTAGTTGTGCTTTCCTGGTGGGACCCATGTTCCATCCCTGTTCAACTGGGTGAAGTCGTGCACCTGGTTGTTTGCCGTGAGGCGTATCACGAGCCAACTTTGTGTGTGTTTGATGGGATGCAGGGTGAAGGCAAATGGTGACTGCTCATGAGTCAAAAATCAGTTGGTACAAGGGCCTGAATAAAAATCACAGACACTTTCTTTTCGCTTATGATTCTGGCTTGGTCTGGTGTCATATCCCCCCCCCACACACCCATTGAAGCTGTTTGGGCCCCTGTTCCACACTCTTGTGGCGCAGTGGACCTTGATTTCTTGGGTTCCGGCCTAGGCTGAACGAGGGCGAGGACGCAAGCAAACAAGCGCTCAGTCGTGGGGGTTGCGCGCAAAGACACGACAAAGGGTTCGGCGAAGGCACCAAATGACTTCCGCCAGTGTCTGGACTTGGGGCCCCAACCCCCAGGCGGACCTGGAAGCTCCAGGACTTTGGAAGATTCGGTTCCATTTACAGAGGCCTTCCGGGAGCTTCCAGGTTAGTCTGAGGGAGTGTAGCAGCCGGTTGGGTTGCGGTTTGGTTTGCCTTGCACCTCAGTTAGAGCCAAGAGTCATGCTTTGCAAGACGCGATCTCGTTGGAAGCTATGGGACTAAAGAGGCGGATGCGTCAACTCCATCGCAGGCCTGAGTTAAGTTAAATATGAATGGCAGCTCGTTTCTCACAGTCAGCTTCTTCACTTCCATGCCTAGAAGCTCAGGACCTCAGATTTCAGGCCACTGGCATTTCCAGGCCCTCATATTTAGGGTTTTGGGCTCCTGACTCCTAGGGATGATTGGAAATAACCTTTTGAGCAGGCTTCAACGAGTTTTGGATGCCAGGCGGCGACCATGGCTGAACCATATGCACATTGCTGTCGGCGGCATGAGTTTTTGGGTAAGAGCCATGAGGTGCAACGTGCGTTGGGCTTTGTGTCAAACTAGACAGGGACAATTCCAAATGTATGTGTGTGTGTGTGTGTGTTTCTGTTTAAATAAACAAGTGTAGTAAATCTATGTATACATATATAACCATGTACACACGACGTTGTTTCTGTCCCTGGCGTTGAAACAGGGTTCGTCTCAAAATCCGTGGACCCAAATATCGTTGTGTTCCTTTGGGTTTTCCCTGCACCCCCACCCCCTTCCAAGAAAGAAAGAAGGAAAGCTACTCACAATAACCAAGCATGACACAGCCCTGACACAGCCAGGATCATATGAGCCAGGGTCACAAGACACTTATGGACTCCAGGCGCCGTGGCCCAAAGTGCGGGGAGCTTTGACCCCTGGAAGTTCTATCACGATATGTGGAGTCGATGTTGTTTTCTTTCTTACAAGCAGGCCTAAGGTTGTTTGATCATGTGGATGGTTGCAAAATCAGAGTTCGCACCACGAAATGACACCATGGTTGAAACCATTTGCTGGTATGTAGAGGCGAATCAACAAAGAAACCAGGGCTTCTTAGGTGCGAAATGGATTTCGCCACCCTCCACAGTCTTTGATCCGCCAGGAGGAGGATTTCGTGATCACCGGCGAGCCGAGCAATGCCGCGGACGCTGACTTCGACCGCCAGGCGGGGAGTCGGGGAGTGTCTCTAGCAGCCCCATCAAACCGGTGGCCTGCCTTGTTTCCCATCCAAGCACCCCGGAAAAGGGTATCTGAAAAACACACAAGACATGTACTGCAATGACACGACTCGTGTGGTTTTGATTGTATAGATCCCTCCGTGGAATCTGACAGAAGGGTTTTGCAGGACTAAGCCCCCTTTGGGGAATCCGCTCCACATGATTGTTGGCAAGAGGGCAACCAAGTCTCAATCGGCAACTATTTCGGCCCAATGCCAAATGACCTTTTTTCTTCCAACAAGGCACCCCCAAACCCCCAAACCCCCCCTTTGATATGGGAAGCTGCCATATGTCCAGTTGAGTGCCTCCTCCCCCGACCTGGGAAGCTCCCATATTTCCAGTCGAATCATTTTACGCAGACTTCAAAAAACCCGCCCGTGGAGCACGCGGAGCACGGCGCCCCTTCGCCCCCCCCCGACCCCGGTGTCCGGCACTCACTCAGCCCAGGTCGAGGCCTTGCAGGAGGCCGTGTTGGACGACTCCTTCCAGGAGATCCGAAGATCGGCATCCGCTGTCCCGCGGAATTTCGTAGGTCGGGAGTCCGCCTCAAACCAATCCCGAGCGCAACATCCCCAATCCCTTGCCAAGCAAGAGCTCCCGACTCCTTGCCTAAGTCCCTTTTTATATAGTTTGGGTTTGGGAGACAGGGGGTCGGGATTTTCCATGTTGGTTTTTTGATATAGTTTGGGAGTAGATAGGTTGGGATTTTCCATGGTGACATTTTTCCCATGCTGAAAAACAACCACATTTTGTCACATTCCTTTGCAATCTGTGTTTCACCCAGAAAAGTAGAAAGTGGGGACTGTCCATGACTTGTTGCCCACATTTTGCCGAAGGTAGGGGGCTTCTTGATTTTCCATAGGTGACTTTCTGGTATACTAACAGCATACACTTTTTGTGAGATTCCCGAACAGCAAGCAACACGGGTGGACACTGTTCATATTTGTCCAGCTCCCCTATTGCAGCCAGTGAGTGGTGTTGTGCCGGGTAGTCCTTTCCAAGCCAGATCATTTGATTGCACAAAGTGTGGCGGGCTTGCTAAGCTCAAAATGGAGCAAATGGACTCCTCCTACTACTACTACTACTGCTACTGCTACTGCTACTGCTACTGCTACTGCTACTGCTACTGCTACTGCTACTGCTACTGCTACTGCTACTGCTACTATGAGGGTAGAGTTGGGAGGCAGTTTGCATTTTACTGGTGTCTGCAAGTGAAGCACACAATGGAATATGCAACACATGTCAATGCAGAGGGCAACCTCCAATCTTGTCATGTTTCCCTTTAAGAGGATCAAACCTTGCAGCTGTTTGGCCATTTGAAGGGTTCTCAATTCAAAGTTTGCAAAGTTTGGGTGACACAAGGAGCCCTGTCAGTCCAACCGAACCGGATTCCAATTTTATGGAGGGTTTCAACAATGAGTCGCCCACTTGTGGACGTCGCTCGGAACTTCGGAAATGGAGGCACATGTTAAGAGAAGCCCAAGGCGACTCGGTCTTTGGGAGCCGGACCTTCCTGGCTTGTGTTGGGCTGGTTGGCTTCGAAAGGTTTGACACGCCTCATGGCTTTTCAGTTTGCCAGGTATAGACATGGACAACTGTCTCTTACAGACCGTCCCTTTTCTTCTCACCATGACCGGCGACTTTTCCATGGAGCACCGGTGCCGTCGATCGGTGTCTCGCGTGACGCCTTTCGTCTCGTCGGCCAGGAAGTGCTGAATGCCTTTTGTCGGGAGCATTGCCATCACTTCGAGGCGTTTCTGGGCTTAAGCCCTCCATGTGCCGTTGAGGGTAGCCAGAAGGAAGCCACTGGAGCCTCCCCGTTTTGAGACATACCCATGCTGTATGCAATGTAAACCCACATCTTACTGTATATTGCATACACGGATTGTGTGGGAAAGGTCGGGGTGAACTGTGGAGGCAAATTCGTCGAATCTGGTGCAACACGGAGGGATTTCATGTGCGGATTCACATTGAGCTACAACGATACGGGGAGGAGATGACTTGCCCATGCCAATGGCGCGTACAAACTTGTATGAGAAGAAACAACCATCTTCTTTTACGAGGTGTTGCTTTGCCGTGCTCCGGACAAACGTGCTAAGGGAGTCTATCTACACGGTCAGTTGCAAACAACCAGGACGCCAGACAGTTTTGGTTGCATTTGGCACTGGGCAAAACATTCGCTTTGCTTGCATGTCTAGTGGGTGAGAGCCGGTGTTGAAACGCCTTTGAGCCACCGGGTGATGGTATGGTCAGGACATTTCGAGGACGAGGATTGCCATTCCAGGGTTAACAAGATAGGCTCTAGCACGAGGGGGTAAAACGAGCTCACCATATGACTAGCTCAGGTCCCTTTACTTATTATATGATCCCTTGTTTCTCACGTGTTTTTGTGAATGATTGTAGATTTAGCTGTTTGATGCAGGCCACTGGATGTATCGTGTGGGGAACCCTGCATTTGTTCTCGGTTTCAAGCCGTCTGAAGACGGGTTCCTGGCTTTGATTGTCCTCCGAACTTCCATCCCCGGTCAACTCTGCGCCCGGAAAGGTGGAGCTCGTGCAATACAAATGGGCCATCACTGCTATGTCAAGCTTGCTCTCGTTTAGCGCGAAAAGCTGACTCAAGCCATCTGACCAGTAAACAAACAGGCAGACTCGTATACACCCTCTGTAAGCCCAGTCGTCAACCCCCCCGGGAAAAGCGGGGGAGGCGCGTCCCATTTTTCAGCATCCTGAACACTTTTGATAGTCTAAGGAACTCTCGCGACAGCTCGCTTGGCCCGGACAACCGAGTGACATTGAGTCTAAAGGCTTTTGATCTCAAGATTACCTTCCAAAGTGGGTTCTTAGGGAATATGATCGGGCGAGTTGCTATTTCTTTTCGTGGCCATGGGCTACAAAGCTGCAGGACACCGAGGAAAACAAGTTCATTTACACGGAACTCTTCAACCAGTACTCTGCGCTTTCCTTAGCCGGGGAATGAGTGTCCAGAAAAGCTTTCGGGCGTCTCAGAGAGAATGCTGGTATTCAAATCAGCACTCTTCACTCCGCTCTTCTCTCCGCACGTCTGCCCCTTCGCTCCGCTCTTTCCTCCATGTTATTCCCAGCTGTTGAACTTATGCACTCTGATTGCACTTTGCCATGGGTTTTGTGCATTGTTACTTGACATCTCTTTACGTACAGAGCATGCATCCTCCCCTGTCACCCCCTCAAAGTGAGGCGGCATAGCCCTTAGAAGCTAGCTTTTGTTTGCCTCCCCTGGCCACAAGTTTACCCATGGGAAACAAGGGTAGCCTCAGCAAAAGGTCACACCAGCGTAGGTCACCTAACTTACCTGGCGATGTTGTTTTGTCGGCGGATCGTTGAGAAACAGTCAGCTCAGGCTTGTTTGGGCAAACTCACTTAAGCCAACAACATGTGCTTCCCTGATTGCCTTACTTGTTTATAGCAACATCATGAGCTTACCTTGAGTGCTAAACCGCCCACATTGCGAGCGGACAATTAACCAGGGCAGTGGCTTTGGGTGGGGCTTTTCCATGCTTTTCCTATTGGTTCTCAGAGGTTATGGGCTTCAGGTAGGGCCCTATCCATACGCATTGTGGTCCTTGGATTCGGGTTTAGACCTGTTGCGCACCCATTTTAATTGGATGCCGCAGACCTAGCGGTTGCAGTGGGACGTAGGTGGAACAGAACTGTGGGAGGGTACTTGGAAGATATCCTCTTGAATTGATCCCTTGTCAGGTGCCATGTTGGAGGGCATGCTTGCCGACTGAACCTGTCGACACCCAGGCGCTTATTGAAGGGCACCTGGAAAAGCAAATGACAGCGGCAATCCCAGGGCCGGGGAGCCGAGGAGCCGAGGAGCCGAGCGACGCACGTGGACGTTGCCAAGAGTTTGACCCTTCTTTTGGGGTCCGCATGACTTTCGACCCGATATCGAGATTGGTCCACAAGGTGATGCTTAATTCGCTTCAGAAGGGACATACCACCCTGGTATGGTGCAGGGAGAGTACATATGGTTGTTTCAAATTATGAACAGGCCGACATGGCGGCTTTCAGAATGCTGGAGAACTTGACTTCACTCGGTGAGTATGCTTTGAGCTTAAGACGTGACATATATCCAGCAAGGCAATTCCCCTCAAATTGGCCTGCCCAGGAGTTGATGTTTACCCAAAGGGGGGAGTTCCGGGAACCTGTTTGAAGGGTTGTGGGGTGGTTTCTGGTGTGAATTCCAGACAGAATCTCTAAGGATAGCTTCCCCATTCTGTTCAGGGATCATTCTTCCCAGAAAACCACCCAACATCAAAACGGAGACTCCAAAAAGGCACCAAAATGCCTCTAAAAAGCCACCAAAAAGCCAAAAAGCCACCAAAACGCCACCAAAACGCCTCCACAACTTGGGGAATTCCTCCCATCGATCCGCTTCACCTCTCTGCCCTTTTGCCGGCGCTGAGCTTCTCCATGATCGTCTTCCTGGAAGAACTCGCGAAACGAGGCGCCGTTGGTATTGACTCGAACCTTCCGATTTCACTGGGACCTCCTTAAAAAGCGGGCAAAACAATGAGTGACCCTTGGCCAATACCTTTATTTGGTTTTGAAGCTCCCCAACCCCCGTGCTAGTTGTCGCAAAAAGCTCGCTTGCTAGCTGGAGTCTGCCTTGCTTTAGCTGGTCATTTAGGCCTGGTATGTTGGGGGTTGAGGTTTACTTGGACCAGAATCAAACCCGCCTTGGTTCTGGGTCAAAGGCCGAGGCAGTTGGGACTGGGTGTTCAGGTTCTCCAGGCGAGCCACATCCCTGTCGGATCAGCTTGACTCGTGGACCCTGCAACATGACTTCTCCTGGTAAACACAGAGGGGGCAGTCCAACGGGTAACAGTACAGGGAAGCTTCAATTGAGTCACAATGAAAACCCGGGTAGATGAAGGTTAGAGAGGGGCAACCCCAACCATAAATGCGTGCTGTGGCCGTTTAGATTCCTGACATGGCTCTGGGATTACGACCATTTTGATACCGGGTTTTGATTTGGACTTGGTGAACGACTATCATGGCTCAAATGGAAGCCCAGGGATTCTGCAGCATGGCCACAATCGACTGGGGGGATCCACTCCCACCATTCAGACTCCCGAACCAAGCGCCAGTTCGACAAGTTTTTGCCACCAACTTGAAGGATTGCGCAGGTCTCACTCAGGGTTTCCAAGCCATGCCCCTTTTTGGAACCTCACAAGTCGCAGCCTCAAGGGAAATTTGCCATGCATCCTTCGTTTGGGTCAAAGTGTGTTCAGCCTTTAGTGGGCTTGCTTGATGTGTTCGGGGAAGACAATGCGGGAGTGAGCCCTGGTATGTTCAGTCCAAGGCCACTCAACTGACTCATGTTCCTCATCTTTTCTGTGCACGTGTGGACGTCCGCCAAATTGCCTTCAAATAGCTGCCGGTGCTTGGGTTGGTCAAGTGACAAAGTTGTTACCCAGGCTTTTGCTTTCTACCTGCAAAGAAGCTAACACCCAGCAGTGGAGTGCATGAACTAGCCCAAAGACGCCTTACATTTGAGCATCTTTTCTGAGGTTATCAAGTTGCGCTGGAATTGAGCCAGACAAAAAAGTCACACTGACAAACCTAGCCAAGAAGGATAGAAACAACACCTTTGGCGAAAACCACTTGTTTGACAAGAGATTCAGGGCTTCAACCTCTAACCCTTGTCTGCTTGAACCGTGATCATTCTGGCTAGCCGGTCGTTATGAAGGTCAAGGCCCATTTTTTTTGCCACCAGCTGGACTTGACGAGTTTTGGTATGAGTGCCTTGTCCATTCTGGGTTGAAAACTCAAAATGAGGTCATGGCCCAGACAGCTGCCTCTTGCTGGTCCCCCGCGCCGTTACGAACTTCAGGTTTGTGATCAGAAAACACCAAAGGGAACCCCCAAACGTCAGGCTCCATGGTGAAAAAAAAACGGGTGGGAGGGTACTTTCAGCTGAGCAACTTTCCCAGATTTGTCACCACTGAACCAGGCGAGGACGAGATCGTCGGGAGCTCGGCAAGCTGTCGCAAGGGGCTCAAGTTGCGGTGATGTATCGCCAAAACCCTCAGAATTCCATTTTTATGGGTAGCTTGAGGGTCCAGGTACCCTCCCGCAGCCTGACGTGAGGGACCGGTCCCTAAAGGCAAACGGTCTAAGCCAGGACCCGGACCCCCCCGAACGTCAGGCTCCATGGAAAACGGGTGGGAGGGCAACGTCAATTGTGCGACACAATCACCAGGCGCGTGGTCAACATATTTTTCCCCAACAGTTGCCAGCTATGTGGCCTCTGACCAATATAGGCTCAATCGGGAGTGGTTTGGGTGTCTTCAGTGAGGGTTCCAGGGCGGTTGGGGGCCCTTCACCTGCCGTTTGTGTTGGTGTTAAGGGGAGGTTCAAATCACCCCCAGCGATTTTGGAGGCTCCCTAATTCTGAGGCATATGCACATGGTAAGCCGTGGTTTTCTCTGGAATTCCCTTTGGCACCTCGTAGCCTCAAGAGGTCAAGAAGACGAGCCATCCATGTTACCATGGGTGCCTGGCCCTTGTCATTAGCGCAGGTGGCGTGATACGTGTCGCATCCACGCCACCGTGTGGAATGCTTTTCTGATTATCCGACAGAGTGGCGCACTTCAAGCTTTGCCAACCCACTTTTCCAGTGCCGAGTTTGGTCTGGTTCACTGTGTCCTCTTTATTTATAGCTGTTGATTGCAGCAAGGGGAGCAAAACCGCGCCAGGGCCTCCTTTCGGAACCTTTAGTGTGTAGCATTGTGACCCCAGAGCATGTTTGCTTTGTGGAAACAATCATATTCTAGATTCTGGCTGCGCAGCATGTCCTTCCGTAAGGCTTCAAGCGTCCCAAAAGAGTATTTACTGTGGACAGCTTCTGATTGTGGAGCCTGCAAAGCGAGCGGTCAAAAGTCAGAACTCGCTTTTGAAGCCTTGCGCCCCTATCCCTGTTGCAGAATCGCATGAACTTCACTCGCAACCATGAGTTCCGACAATTTCCTTTGGGTTTTCTTTGTTGACCGCCCAGCCGCCCCCCCCACTCGCTGCGGCGGGGGGCCAGCCCGCGTCGCGTCAAAGAGAGATAAACATGCTGATACAGATGGGGCGGAATGTTGAGCTGCGGTAAGCCCCCACCAGAATACATACCGCAAGCAGACCACCCAACATTTGAAACTCGCAAACCACCCCATGTGCGGGGGTGCAAAGGGCCAGGTGTGGTTGCTTGGATATCTTCTCCCTCCTTGGATTTCACAAGTGGATGTTGTGATTCAAAACACTGGCCATTCTGAAGTGAAAAGCTGCTTAGTGGTTCCCCATCATGTTCGGGCGTACAATCCGGCTCGGAGTACTAGTCTGTCGTTGGCCTTGGGAGGACTCCCTCGTTTTTCCATATCTGTTATGGGAGCCGGATATTCTTGATTTGTAGGGTTGTATCAGGCCATGGTATGGAGTAGCGGCATGCTACTCGGACAACAGAAGCTTAGCCACCCATCAAAGTGGGCTGCAGGTACCACCGGGACCGCTCAAGACGTCCTGTGGAAACCTTAAAGCCGTCCGGTGTGTCATGGTTGTTGTTGGGGAACATTTTACATGTTTGCATCGTGTGGTTTAGTGGTTGGAAAATCCAACCACGCAAATCTGCCGGTTTTTTCAGATATTTTGCTCCCTTCCAAGGTCAACCGTCCGGTGTGGGGCATATGCACATGGTGGATCGTGGTTTTCTCTTTTTGTGTTGGCACCTCGTACTCACAAAAAGTCAAAAAGACGGCCATCCATGTCACAAGATGTCCTGTGGAAACCTCAAAACCGTCCGGTGTGTGGGGTAGCCGTGCGAGGATTGCGCGGTCTTGGAGCTGCTGGTCTCTCAGAGCGACTTCTTGTCCTTCAAGCAGCAGATGCTCACTGTGAAGGTCAGCGAGCCAGTCGAGCGAGCGCCAGCGGCTTTCTAGCGCGGCCAAATGGAAACATGAATGTTTGGATTTTTACGGGTACCCCTGTTTAGGTTGGTTTAAATTGGGGAAACCCAACCACAATTTTGGTGGGGCTGACCTATTCCAGATCTCTTGGCATTCCGAATTTGCTCCATGGCCCAAAGAGTTGTTGGCCTTGAGCGGTTGGTGAAAGAAGTGTCTTAATATGTCTTAATCGTGTTCTGATTGGTGGCTTTAGGCTTTAAGGTGTTTCATTTGGTTTCTGGGAGCCAAACAAGCATGAGAGTGGGTCTGGGAATGGCAACATGTTCTGAAGTCGTAACTTCAAGTTACTTCGGTCTCCTCAGTGGTAGCGCCCGTTATTCCCCAAACTCGTCGGTGGGTTTCCATGAATTATATACAAAGCACAAACGGGGTGTTCTCTTGTCCACTCACATTTCGGCGCCCGTGAACATGAATGTGACACCAATTATGCCTTCCTTACGCACCTTCGACCCCTTTCGGAAGACTAGTTACTTTCCTCTAGAAGTTCTCTGGGAGGGGACTAAAAAAGAAGAGAGTCGCCAAGCATAGCTGATGTTTGAACCATCAAGCTTATGTGTTGTAATCTATTTGTGGGGTCTCAAAGCCTGGCTTGAGGGCCCCCCGTTTACAAGAAGTCGGGAGCCTCTGGGCACGTGTGTCCTGGGACCTCCCACAAAAATCGGGAGCCTTTAGGTTTTATGTTGGGAGGGGGCCAAAGGCTTTAAAATGACAGCCCAACTGGCTGAGGCTCAACAAGATGTCCCCAAAATGGGTGCTGGTAAATGGAAACAAAGACCAAACCCTGCGCTTTGCCCTAGCTCTTAAATTTAGAGCCACACCCAAGTGGCTGTGGGTCAAAATACAGGAAACCCCTGGTGAACATCAAAATAGGTGGCAAATGGATGTTCCACCCCAAAATGGGATCGCAATAGGTTATGCAACCCATGGCCATGTCATTTTTGGACGCACCTCACGATTTGTTCTGACGAGTTCCTTCTTGGGAAGTTTCCGCGGCGTTAGCCCCCCGCTCAAGCCTTCACTTTTGCTGGAGGGCAGGCGGCGCGCTCTTCTCGGAAAACGCTCAAAGCGTTTCCAGAGACTACGACAAACAATCTTTGTATTTGACACATTGGGCTCATAGGGCCCGCTGCTTGAATCCACGTAGTCAATGAACAAATAAATCTTTTGGGACTGCATCAAAAGAAGTAGCAGTATCTTTAAAATCAGCCAGCAGCACCATGTTTGTCGTGAAAACAAGGCGCTTCAATACCGCAATTTCCGCAACCAGGCAGTTTTGCACCATGGTTGCAACTGCCCATTGTTCAAAAGTCTTATTCTGTCTTAGCCAAGAGTTCCGAAAGCATCAGAGTTTTGTTCTTCAGGGCGGCCCATGACCACCTAACAATCTCAAGCGCACGTTGCTTAAAAAGGGCCGTGCTTTCAAGCAAAGAAACCATGGTAGAATTCAAAGCTAAAGCGTGCTAATCCGATTATGCACGAAACAGTAACGGGCAAACTTACTGAGCCACACATCTGTGCACAAACCATCGTATTGCAAGACATTTGTCACACTCTTCACTACATAACACATCCATGTCGAAGAACAAAACTGCAACTCCATCCACAATCACTGACACAGATAAAAACATAAAATGAGCCTATTGGCTAACACTTGGGCGGGTGTGCAGAGTATTCCCCCTTTCAAGTTTCCCCCTTGCGGAAGCTGGCACCAAGGTCTGGAGGCCGAACCCGTAAAGCTCAACTTGACCCGACAAAGTGGGTAAACAATTCTTGGACCTGAGGTGGGCAGGTGTTTGCTGGTTTCCTTGAAGTTCTGATTTGGGCGAGTTTGTTTTTCTTTAGGAAGACCCCCCCAAAAAAAACAGTGTAGTTGTCCTTTTGGTCCTTTAAATCAACCCCAAAAAGGGTAAAAGGATATACCAACGCAAAAGAAGACAGACCCGTCCAGAGGAAATTTTGAGGATGTCACTGAAGGTTTCCGGATGCAGGAAGACCCGGGCCTCAGCCTCTCCGGCACCGCCACGCACATCCACGCGGACGAGGACGAGGAAGGCGCGGCTTTCGGAGATCGAGCAGGGGGATTCGGGGGACCCCGTTGCCCAGTGGGGTTCGCCGCGTGTCCACTTTGTTTCGGAAAACCAGTATTCTGTGATAACATTTGTACAACAAACAAAAGAATGTCCTTTTTAGTGGGGTTCACCTTGTTGTCTTTTCCTCTGAGATGTTCAACCGACAGCAAGGAGCGTCCATTGAATGGACGTCGCCGGAGTGATCAGAGTTGAACTTGGTTGCTCCAAGCCGGAAGCCAGATCCGGGCTACCACTTGCGGTGTTTTTTTGGGTGCCTATGGAACATGAGCAATTCTGGGTGAATTATAACGACCTCACACGACCTCACCACAAATGGTGGTTTATGCCTTATTTCAGGCTGGTGAAATATTATAATTCACCCAGTACAACTGGGCAAGGGTAGACGTTTTTTTGGTGTCCTTCGTTTTCCCAATTTGGGCCCGATTTCTAGCTTCGCGCTGTGGAGCAACCCTATTGGAGGCTCC